GACTGAGGCAGACAAAGAAGATGAAAGGAAATTTGGGCAGGAAGGATAACTGGTGAGTTTGAGGTTTGGGTACAGTGGGGAGTCATTTTTCTATATAAAGAACTCAGAGCTTTTCTCTCTTTCTTTTTCAGTTCCCCCAAACTCTAATCCAAATGGACCTTGCTCTGGGAGGCAGTTCCCAAGCAACCAGTCCAAAGTCATCCTTGCGTCCTTTGCACTAACTCACATCTTCTTGTGGGATAAATAAGCCAGGAACATGTGTTAAAGGTTCAGTATATATCAAGGTAGTATAGAATTTGACTGTCACTCTCAGTACTGTTTAGTGTCAGGGTCTCTTTCTATGGCCCAGGTTATCCTCCAACTCATAGAAATTCTGCCTCAGTCTTTCAAATGGTGGGATTATCTTTTATCAATCAATAAACATGGATTTCACAGGCAACCTGGATATATAGTGAGACCCCAGCTTCAAAACTCAAATCAAATCAACCTACACCCCAAACAAAAAGCCATTAAAAACTAAAATTATGCACAATTATGGAATTTTAAATTTCTTGAAAAAAATTTCAATATTTGTGCATGTGTGTGTGGGGGCACACAGGTGACACGGTGTACAAGCAGAGCTCAGAGGACAACTTTCAATAGTCAGGTTTTTCCTTCCACCATGTAGGTCCCAGGGATTGAATTTAAAGCAGCAAGCACCTTTATGCTCTGAGTCATTTCAATGGCCCAGAATTTGTTTTGGGGACAAGGTCTCACTATGAAGCTTTGGCTGGCCTGAAATCTGATATGTAGACCAGACTGGCTTCAAACTCAGAGATCCTAGGATCAAATGCATGTATTGCTATGCCTGGCAGAAATTTTGCCAATAATATAAAAAATGGTACTTATGGTTTCAAGTGGAAAAAAATACAAGCCATTTTTTTTTTAAAAAGAAAAGGCATTTATTACTTTTTACCTCATATAACACAATGCATTTCAACATTTTAGACAATATTGGCAAACAAAAGACAATAAACAGGTATACCCAGAGGTAACCAGAGTTCATATTTGTTAAACATGAAGCCCTTCCCCCATGCATATGTCCAAACAAAGGTTTTTAATTTTACACATTTAGTTTTGACTTTACAGATATCTTTTCTGGCATTTGCTACACACCTGTGAAGTTATTTTAAATAGCTACACAGTATTCCTGCTGGAAATTTAGGTTCTTCATTTTCCCCATTAAAGTATAAAGAGATGGGCTTGTGTGTCCACATCCCAGCTGGTTAATTAGGCTTTGGTTAAAAATATAGTGTGTAACCAATACCACAACCCAGGATGACAACATTCCTGTGTCGCTAGGAAGTCTCCCATGGCTATTTACTGGTAAACATTGCCCCATGCCTGCTTTACATCGCCTGACTTTATGAGTTTGAGTTTCTTGACAGGTCATAAGAAGAGAAGAACACGATGGTTTTTGTTTTGTACACCTGGCTGGGCTGAATGTATTTCTGAGGTTTATCTGGGTTGTGGTGTGGCCACTTGTTTTTTCTTCTGTTAATTTGTAGTTCTCTGTTTCAAAGCCCATGCCCACTTTTCCACTGTGGTGGGAAGTATTTCATGGGGAGAAGCACAGTCATTCTCAGACTAAACAGGGTTCTAAAGGCACCAAGAAGGACGACACTGTCTTAGTTTCCAAATGGAGGACCATCATTACATGTCTCTTGTTCTGGCTTGGGCTTTGTGCATCTATGACACTAATGAATAATTAAGATTATTTATTTGAATCAAGTTTTAGTTTCTTCTCTTAAAAAAATGACATGAATTTCCAATTTTTTTCTAAAACAGTTAACTCCCTAAAGCCGACCTTAACCTTAATAGAAACATTATTTACTGAAGGAGACAGAATGTAAACAAATAGATGCTACCTTACTTACATGTTACCTTGGAAGCTGGCCTCCTGCACCAAGAGCCCTGGAAGTTCCTCATCCCTCAGATAAAGACGAATCACTATTTGCAAACTAGTACTCTGTAAAGACTTTAAAAGAAGAAAAAAGTTAGGTGTGGTGGCACACACCTGGAATCCTAGCACTCTGGACGCAGGCTGGAACAGTGCCACAAGTTTGAGGAGACACAAACTCTCCAAACTAAAAAAGATAAATATCCTATTTGAATCCCAAATTAGCCATTACTAGATTGACATCTAATCTGGTCCTCCTTCCAGAAATAAAAGCTCAGGTTTGGTTAAAGTTCTTGACCAGGTGGTGGCGGTGGTGGTGGTGCTTGCCTTTAATCCCAGCACTCGGGAGGCAGAGGCAGGCTGATCTCTGGTCTACAGAGAGAGTTCCATGACAGCCAGGGCTACCAGAGAAGCCCTGTCTCAGAGGAAAAAAAAATTAGCTCCCCAGGTCACAGAGAAACTCAGATATGGTGCCCATTGCTACTACTCAAGTCTCTTAAACTTCTTGGCTGTCCCAAACTGCCTTCATTTTCAAACTAACACAGCCGAATCAGGGTTCCTCATTTGTTCGGGCCACTTTCTATCTGAGGCTCCACATTCTGTGTTGTTCCTTGAAGAGACAGTTCTATGTAGGTGTCTGCTGGTGTAAGACCTGGACCTGTCCTTGTAACCAAAGGTCTTTCTCAGCTGGGCATGGTAAAGCTCTCTCTATGCCCCTGGCATTTGGGAGCAGGAGGGAGAGGATACAGAGTTCTAGGTTATCCTTGGTTACATAAGTGAGGTCAAAGCCAGGAGAACTTACAAGAGTCTAAATAATAATAATAATAATGATAATAATATATTAAAAGACATCTATCTTATACTAAAGATTCAGAGTAGGCAGGCACCTTCTATGGTAGCAGTGTGTAAACATAGTTCTACAAATCTTTGCCATGATTTATCTTAGACATTGCTTAAGGAAAAAATTGTTATATAAATAATAAAGAAACAAAGGAAGTGATTCACCTAGAACTCTGTCACCTCTATAGATCACTCAACTGATCGTTTGTTCTTCTATGGAATCTTCTGGTTTTGTACAAATAATTTAAGTGCTATAATTAACCTGGGATGTGGAGGAGTTTTACACTGAAAGACACAGCTCACTTAGGGAAGCCCCGCTTATCACAAGGGGCTCCTACACTCAGCTCCTCAGATCATATGCCACAGGATTTGAGACAGGGCACCGAGAGGGTGATGCTGGCACTTTAGTGTCACCTAAGGAAGGTGACTCAGTTGCTGGGTCAGAAAGGGGGACAAAGGCTGCTCCACTGCTGGGGCCACACCTTGCCTGTTCACCACAGCATGCTTCACGCTTAACACAAGGTCAGGTATTGGCTAAGTACTCAAGTATTGAATCATTACTCTGGAACCTTACTGACCCATTTTTTATTTTCTGTCTGTAGTGCTGGGATAGAACCCAGGACCTCATGCTTGCTAGGCAAGTGTTGTACCACTAAGCTGCACCTCTGGCCCCAGCCACCCCATTATTTTGGGGGAGATGCAAGAAAATCCTAGATAATAGCATCTAATGTTATTTTCCATTTAAGTGGAATCTTGACTAGTTAATTAAACAAGTGTATCCTGAGGTTTGCTGTGACTAAACATTACTGGACTGTTTGGGATTGAGAGTCAGAGGGGGGTGGAACATCCTCATTGCTACTCTGGGGACTATGAGGCATAGTCTGAGATAAACAAAGTGGCTCTTTCAATTTTTAAAAACAGTCTTATTTTAACTTCCCAGAAGAGTTGAGAAATCAAGAAACAAATGATAATTGGTGGGAGAAAAGTAATTTCACTTAAAGAAGCTTAAAGGGTTCTGGAAATTACGACTTTTCCAGAGCTTTTGGCCAGAAATGGGGCAACACTTACTCGAAGAGCCACAGTTTCCAGGGATGGTCACCTTAGGTTTCAATTAACATGATATATGTCTTCCTAGAAGATTAGGACTTTAAGGAAGGCTCCCCATAGCCTGATATGAGATACAGGACAGTCACTTGAGATATGTGGAACCTAGCTGCTTCTGCTTGTGGCCAGAGCTAGGAGGTGTTAGCATTTCCTAACCAAATTCTACTAAACAAAGTCCCAGAGATACTTTTCTTAAAAATAATTCTGATTTCTTTTTTTTTTTCTAAAAAAAAAAAAAAAAGACAAATCACCATATTGGAGAATACTGTTTGGATTCTGAGGGTCCCATCAGAGCTGTTTTACAATATGTGTTTATACAATCTTAATGAGGTTGGCGTCGGACTGTGAAAGTGGGGCCATCCGGGTCAGTGTGTGTGACATTTCGGATTCATTTCACTTTGGATCACAGACTAGTGACACACTATTGTTAGACACCAACTTGATTTGGATTTGTCTTTGGACATTCAAATTAATATAAAGTCAAGTTAAACACAAAATGCAAATCACCACCAACTTCTAAAATGCAATTGGGTAAAGAAAACAGCCAGCATAATTTCCTGCCATTATCAACTGCTGTGGTTTCAGTGAGAAAACTACCCGGGGGCTTATGGGTCTGGATGCTTGGTCTTCAACTGGTTTGGGGACCCACTGTTTGGGGAGCTTCTGAAACTTTGAGGAAATGGAACGCTGGTAGAGGAGGTGCATCATAGGGGCAGGCTGTGAACTTACACTCAGGGCTGACACTCTTAGTTTCCTATATGCAGGTGAAATGTGATTTGCCAGCCCTGCTCTGTTACTGCCCCCTTACCTTCTTGGCCATTATGGACTCCCTCTTTGGAACTGTAAGCCAAAATAGACTCTTGCCTTTGGTCATAGTATTTTATCATGGTAACAGAAACAAAGCAAAACACTTTTTAATGAATGTAAACATTTGACATTTTGAATATTCATATTTAAAGAAATTAAAAATTTGAAAAGTTTATAGAATCTGTTTATAGCACCCGGTGTTCTACTAATTACATCCCATATTAACCAATTATGCTTTTTGTCCAAGAGCCATAGGAGTTAAATACTTTAGTGATAATAAAGAAGAGAAAATAATCACATAAAGAAGCAATTAAGTGTCACAATTATGATTTAGAGGAAATCTGCCCAATAAAAGCAAATGCATATAACATATCATTCTATTTGCTGATGAGCACAGTGGACGTAATTTTGGGGAGTAGGAAAACTGAAAATGGGTCCTTTGCCTCTGGACAGTCCCTCTTCTGCCATCCTTCCCCAGAATACCACGCTGCTCCAACAGTCCAAGCATTGACTGCCTCGTGTGCTGATGAGCAAGTGCACTGACTGTTTCTTCACTAGATGTACATGCTGCCTACATGTCTTTAGCTCCTCCAAAGTAATGAACATTGCTGACTATTCAATTATTTAAACAGAATAATTATGGGAATGATAATTAAAAACACACAAACATTTCATTGGTAAGTTTCAAGTAGAAGCAGAAAACAAGCCCATGGCTGCATGCAGTCAGTAGCCGCACATTTCTAAAACACATTAAATGTAAATGGAGTAGCTCCCTTAAGACAGTCTCTTCCGATGGGGACATTTATTCCTTATTCCAAACACATTTTTTTTGAGTGTGCTGATGGCAACGACTTTGCATGATCACCCACAGGTATAAAACTTAGCTCCATTTTTTCCCTTTCTGGTTTACTATTAGCAGAGCCCAAACACATCCACAGGATTTCTAAGGAGGACCTCTCTAAAAAACTCCTTTTAAATTTTAGTGTCCTCAGTTGTGTGTTAAAGAAGCTAAATCCAAAGGCTAACCACATCTGAGCAAAAAGTGGAAGAAGGTTAACTTCAAAGTTCAGAGATAAGAGCAGAGAAAGAAAGTCAGATTCACTGTGTGTGAGTTCATATCATGTCATTCTCACCATGAGCCAGGACACTTGTATTCATGTAGTCTGATTAAGCCAAGTGACAGGCCAAAGGAGTCTTGTGAAGAGACTAAGGAGATGGAGCCATTTGGCTTGTCTAACAGGGCATTAGGAGGTCTAAATGATCAATCTATTTAAGAAAACAAAAGCATAAATCCAGATCCTTTTTTTTTGTTCAGAGTAGCATCCCCTGCCATATTCCTTTTATCTATGAAATGGATAAAAACCACATCAATCATCCTTGATTGTTCAAGCATAACACACTGTTGATGTGCTTGAGCATTCAGGGATGCCTTTGGGAAAAAGCTATGAGAATGGTTTTTAAAGTTCTCAAAGACAAAAGAAATGACCACGATTATACAGATTACATTGGGAACATCTCTGAAAGCACCCAGCTTGGACTCAAACACCTCTCAGCAGAACTTGACTCTGCAGTCATAAGTTCCAGAGTTTCTCAAGCATAAAGGCACTTCCCCCTGCAACATGAGTTCTATAGCACTTTCTGCTAGCCAGAGCTTTTGAGACTACCTCCATGATAAATTGACTAGGCTTAAAGCTTGGGCTATTAGCTGGATATTAAGGTTTGTAGAAATGAAATGACATAATGTCTGAGATTGGTTTTTAAATGTCAGTAAAAAAGGAAAAAGTGGGAGGGAGCAGGTGAAGCAAAAATTCAGCCAAGTCCATAATTGCTGGACCCAGGGATAGGTGTGTGTGGGTTTTCCATATCATTCTATCTGTGTGCATGCTTGACAGTTCTCATGACGATATTTTAGCTTCTTATAAACATAGACCTGGAACTCCAACAGGACATTAAGCTATGCAGAAAGAAATCAAATCTGGTCTGAAATCTGGAGCTCCTTCTAGATTTATAAAAACCCTTTCACCTGTTTTTTTCAAACGAAGGACATGACATAAATCTGCACACTATCCTAAAAAATGGAATCATGATGCATTTACACAATTTAGCCCCAAATTAGAGAGCTCTAAATGTTAGTAGTTGTGGCTGGAACACAGACCGTGTTATAGGAAGAGAGACATCTGGATTCCGGTTCCACTTTAGTTCAGAAGGGAAATAGATGTTAACTCTAAGAAGCTGGGTTTCTTGATCGGCTTGTCAGACACAAGCTTTTCTTGTGGAGGACAACTCTTCCTCTTCCATTATAGGAGCAGGTAGATGGTGTCCGCTCCTGAAGCTCACACCTGAACCAGAATGACACAGGATACACTGCGCAGAGTCCCACCCTTCCTAGCTATTTCCTTTTTCTTCTGAAGAGCCTCATATGCTGCTGCTCTGGGCTCACGACGGTCCATGCAATTCTCCAGAACACGAAAAGTAAGAGTCCCCGGGTCTATGAGGACAATTGCATTTGTTCATGTGTAAAATCCAGTTTGGGAACTGTAACCTCAATCTAGGTCACTGGAACTGGATTAGAATTAAGAGACAGTAACACACTCTGTACATGTTTATCTATCATGTGTTTTCTTCTGGTGTCTTGACACAAGGCTTTATATAGTCATGCTGGGCTTCATGGCTATGAAACTGAGGATGACCTAAACTCTGGATCCTCTAACCCCCACCATCTAAGTGCGCACTGACTCATGCCAACTATGCCATTGGCCTTAAATTACATGCATTTTCTGATGCACTGATACTATTTACATTTTTTTTTGTTCTTCAGATTAAGTATTTGGTTAGGAATTCACTCAATTAATAATGATACCAGGAAAACTGTTTTTAAAATGAGGTATTTGTTTTACTGTTTGAAACAGCAGAGGTTTGGGTAAACTGTAGAAACGTTCCAGTAAGTAAGAAAGTGGGCGAGAGTACATGGAAACAGAAACAGGGTCTGGCAACATGCCGCCTTGACCCAAGACCCCTGAGATTCCTTGCTGTAGGCAAAACATACCTACCTACCTTATGCTTATTAACAGAAAAATCAGTATGAATCCTTCGAAGTTTCTACTTGGCTACATGGGAATGGGGGCACTGACAAAGGCAAAGGGCTCAGACCATCTGCATCACTCCCTCCCTGTTCCAGTACAAAAATAGTTATCAGCAGACCATCATTCCCTTGGTTTCAATTATCTTAGAAAAACACTTAGAATTACAGCAATGACAGCATTTTCAAGTTCTTTTATGCAGAACCGTTGCCAAGGTTCAGAATACCATGAGAAATCTTGAGAACACAGTTTTCACATGAAAAACTGAGCAATCAGGTTTGCCAGGCCCAAGATGATGATGAAAACGTGAAAAACTAATTTAGGCCATGTCAGACGCTCTTCTTGGTGTAGGGAAATTATGTAGATGAGAGAAGGATATATGAACACGAAAGCCAGGCCGCATGCTGCTCCCGAGTACCTGCAAAATGAAAACATTCTGGGTTAATAATCTTGCTGCATTTTTGATGACTTATAATTAAGGTCAATACAGAATGATTTAAATTGTATTCAGTTGCATTTGCCACAAAATTTGTTATTTGTTACTGGCATTTGAGTTTAAAACTTGTTAGATTTCAGGGGTGGTGTTATTGTACATCTTTAATCCCAGCATTTGGGAGGCAGAGGCAGGCTGATCTTTGTGAGTTCAAGGCCAGCATGGCCTACAGAGCTAGTTCCAGGACAGCTAGGGCTGTTAAACAGAGAAACCCTGTCTCAAAACAAACAAGCAAGCAAACAAAAAATGTGTTAGATTTTAAATCAATAAAAATATTATTTCCTGTTTGTCTTTATAATATCTGAATGGCAGTTTTTATTCATTCCTTAAATCTTAGATACATCTGGAGACAGGCTTTCATCTTTGATCTTTTTTTAATACAGGGTCTCATGTAGACCAAGATGGCCTTGAACTTGTTATATAGCTAGAATGACCATGAACTTCTGATCCTCCTGCCTCTATTCCCTAAGTGTGGGGATTTCAAACCCGCAACACCACATTGCTTTATGAGGTGCTGGGGATGAACCCAGGGCCTAGTGCATGCTGGGCAAGTACTCTACCAAATGAGCTATATCCCTCATCTCCTTCACTTTTGACATTTATAAAGTCATTTGGGATCTGTGAGGGATTTGTATCATCTGTGTATGAATGAGAAAAGAGTTTTTCTGTGGCATTCAGTGTAATTATCAAGGATAACAAAAATTCTTAAATGAATTTGTGACAGACAAACAGGCAATCCCCCATTTTCTTGAGGAATAATTTAACAGGAACTTTTAAGTCCATTATATTTTGTAGGTATCACAGAACACTCTCTCCCACAGGCACCACAGGACACTCTCTCCCACAGGCTCCACAGAACACTCTCTCCCACAGGCACCACAGGACACTCTCTGCCACAGGCTCCATAGAACACTCTCTCCCACAGGCACCACAGGACACTCTCTGCCGCAGGCACCACAGGACACTCTCTCCCACAGGCTCTACAGGACACTGTCTCCCACAGGCACCACAGGACACTGTCTCCCACAGGCACCACAGGACACTCTCTCCCACAGGCACCACAGGACACTCTCTCCCACAGGCTCCACAGGACACTCACTCTCTCCCAAAGGCACCACAGGACACTCTCTGCCACAGGCTCCACAGCACACTCTCTCCCACAGGCACCACAGGACACTCTCTGCCACAGGCTCCACAGCACACTCTCTCCCACAGGCTCCACAGCACACTATTTTTTATTGCTTGCTGCTTTCTCAGGAAAGGTTCTCACAAGTGTGATTCAATCTCATGTCTGTATGGAGGAAGATTATTTTCAGACCATTTTGAAGGCATTTCTCTCAAGTCTGCTGTTCATATGGAGGAAGGCCTCAGATTATTCTGAACACATTTCTTAGTGACAGTCTGTATCAACTCTTTTCCTACCATCTTCAACCTGCCACAACTTTTTTAGAGAAAGGACATTAAGAAAGATCCATCTTAGAGCTAATCTCTTGCTATTTGAACCTTTTTTCTTTTTGAGTAGAGATGTATTAAGAGTTAGATGGACATGGTGTTGACATATAAAGGACTTCCTGGGCACAACTAAGAAGTAATGCATATTGAAAATAACTTTATTTCAGAAAAAATAAACACAATGGAAAATGAGAAATGTAAAAAGAAGAGAAAGGTAGCTGAGGGACAGTGGGGCTCCTAGAGCTCTTTCTCTACCAGAGAACAGCAAAAATGGGATTTAACAAGCACCCTAACAAATACCAGAAAGTATACTTGAACACTAACAGTATTAAAGACATAGAGAAAATTCATTCAATTAAAGCATCAGCAGCAACAATGACAACAGAGTATGTATGCACAGGTATACCTTATGATCCCTCCTATGTTTGGGTAGAAACAGGCCATGGTCACTCCAGCTCCCACAATAATTACATTAAGAATCAGCACATGGAAAATGCTAGAAGGTAGAAGAGAGTTTACACAAAAGAAAAGTTATAAAACAAATAAGTTATAATCAATTTTTAGGACAATTAAAATTCATTTTTTAACACCTTCCAATGATTGTCATTAATTTGCCAACAAAACTGAAGTGAACTCCTCAATGTTGGTCATGAGACAGTGAAATTAGTCTTTTTATCCAGTTCTATAAAAAGGCAAATTTCACAGGGGGAAACTAGTATTATGCAACAGAGTTATAATTTTATTTGGAATATCTTGAAAAAACAAAATCATGAAGAAACCTATTAAAGTGCAATTTACCTGACAGAATATAGTAAAATTATTAAAAACAACATCATTATTTTTGTAGATAACCAAGAATTATCTAAACAAATGAGAAAAAAAGTTAGTTGGATTTTCACCAGACAAGAAAATCTAAAGAAAAACGTAGAGGGTAGGAAGGTTTGTGGGAGAATATTGTCAGTGTATAAAAAAGTATGGAAAATTATTTATGGTAGGTAGTTATCATACATCTTGATAAGTTATAGATATTAGGTGTCAAGATGTTATTATTCATAATTTCAACCTTCAACTTGCTGGACCTTTGTTGTTTTACTAGACGAAAAACTTCTGTTTATTTTCCAAAGTAGAGGCTGGTTCTCCAAGTGTGGCCATTAATTCTGTTTCAGGAAACTTTGAGGTAAATACTATTCTGATAACAGTATGAGACACTGTATGCTTTACAAAAGCAACATGCAAGGGCAAAGGCACCTACCTATCTGTACTCTATGATGGAATTTTCACTGCCAACATTCCAAGAAAAAATAAAACAAAAAATTACTTATTAACTTTGTCCATGATCAGGCTGGGGATATGACTCAGTGGCACATTAACCTAACATGCTTCAGGTCCTGGTGTGATTTCCAGCACCCAAGGGGTGAAAGGAGCAAAGCTTCATTTCTTAGATCTCATCCCTGGAGGATGTATCTTTTTAATATTCTATGTGATCAAATGGGAAACACACTCAAGTACATTGATGTCTTGAGGAAAAGCAGCTGCCAGCAGAGCAGGACCAACATCTCTGACAGTCTCAGCAGATGCTACCACTCCTCAAAATGTAGCCAAAATAGCAGGCATCAGCACTTGGCGATTAACTGACATTTCCTATAATGAATGTTGATGAGTTTGTCCTTTGAGGAAAACAACAGGCAGTATTTGTTGATGATAGTGACAACCGAGTTTTCAAATAAAAACTAGGATTTTAGAGAACTTGGCATTTGCCACTGTGAGTTTGATGATTTCCCAAAATTTAAAGACTTTTTAGGATGAAGCAGGTAGTGTTATTAATGGATGTGAGTTCTGGTGACATATAAAGACATGTGTGAGCAACATGAGGAACCTATATTTTTTTCATAAAATATTATTCATGTTAACAAGTAATAGTTTTATTTATAATTTTTGAAGGGGAATCCTAGCATCTCAAGAATGGCCTCACACATTCTCCTGCCTCTGTCGCCTAAGTGGATGGGACTATAGGTGTGAGCTTCTATGTTCGGACTTACTGATTTTTAAGGAATCGATAAATATCTTAAAATTATTAGTTTTAATTTTTTACATTAAATATTGATAATGTACCTTTGAAAATTAAAGCTCCTGGTAATAATAAAATTGAAGAGTATGAAGAAGTCTTGAGTTAAAAAACTCATACACTGCCTGTGAAAAATGCAACTATAGGACAAACGACAGCGTGTTCTTATCACAGGGAAGACATATAATGTGATCACAAAAGGCCGATCTCAGACTTTTTTCAAAGAAGAAAAATCACTCTAATGGCGATCATTAAAATAATGAAAATAAAAAAAGGAAAAGAAAGAAAAAAAAAAGCTGGGCAGGGTAGTCTTTAATCCCAGCACTTGGGAGCCTGGGGCAGGTGGATCTCCGAGTTCGAGGACTGCCTGGCCTATATGGCAAGTTCCAGGACAACCACGGCTACACAGAGAAACCCTGTCTCAAAAAAACCCAACAAAACAAAACAAAAAACAGTTGAAGAGAGGAGGGATGTATTAGTCAAGAAATATTTCATCTATGACTTCACTGGGTTTATTTTATTTTTGTGAAACAAATACAGTAGACTTAATGGAGTAACAAACAGAAACTTTGTTTTTTTTCTGAACTCCAGTGTTCTAGATTAGCAGTTAAAACTATAGCTTGCTACTCATTAATGTTCAAGAGGACATTGTGTCAATGTATCAAGAATACCTGGTAGCTCTTGAATTATTTCATGAGGGGACAGACTACAAACAAGAATTATTTGTTTAATATTGTTTAAGAGTTAATTAAACTCTTGTTTAGTATGTTATTATAAATGTTTTCCTATATTGTATTCATAAGTTTTTGTCTTTTAAAATATTTATTCCACTCACACCTACAAGCCCACCATTTGGGAGGCTGAGGCAGGATCATGAGCTCCAAGATAGCTCTGGCCACACAGAAATACCCTCTCTCAAACACCTCCCCTCCCAAAGCTAATTTATTCCCAATAAAACAAGGTTAGATACTTTTTGCTTTTGTAACATTTACTGTAATGGTTAATCAGGGGACTATGAGAAATCTTCAGGGAAGCCTGGAGATATAATGATGCTACGTGGAAATTTCTCTTGGATAAGGGTAACAACCTGAACAGATCTTTTTCAAAAGGATGTACAATTCCTCTAGGCCCATTAAAATGCTAAACTTCCCATAGCAATTTAAACTTGTTATATATGAAATAAGAATTTAAACTCATTCTATGTCTCACCTTCAATTCTACACAACTGGGCATTTCTATAGAAATGTATAACTATTAATAAACATACATGTATTAATACCAATAAAGAAAGTATTGGCTTTCTTGAGCAACACAGCAACATAGATTCTAAGTGTCATACACTTCTTAACAAGGTGTACTTAGTAGCAGTTAAATCCTTACATAGATAATAATAGACATCACAGCTAATTGACTCTCCTGGAAGGGACAGACACCAGATTGTCCCGGTCAAGGGAGTGGCATCTCTATTTAAAGCTCTTCTGGGAAAAGGACCTTGTAATCTATCCTTAGTAACCATTTTCATTAGGCAAAATTGTTTTTTATAGCAAAAGGATCAGTCAAACTTTAAACTGACCTGTTTGCACAGTCATTTGTTGCTTGGCACATCTTGCTGGTCAAGAGAAGAACCCTTACCTAGGATAAATGTCACCGAAGATATGGCCCAAGAGCTGAACACGAGCCAAGTAGCCTAGGAGTGGGTAGACAGTCATCATCTGGAACAGCAGGAATATCCTTGCAATGAAGGACAGGGTGTCACTGCTAGGGAAGTTGTCTAAGAAGTTCTAATCCAAGAAAGACAACGGAGTCATGTCAACACTCAGTGTAGTATGTTCAAATTCATAACACTTTCTGCTTAGTGTGAACACAGGCAATACCCAAGGAGTGGTTTATGAGCTGATGCCCATCTACAAATGGCTTGCTAACTATTTGTCAAGAGGTGAGTACAGAAACCAAAACTCATACAGAAACTGATAAAATATCCACACTGGCATATTCTGCTTTATGAACGTTCTGGTCTGAAAATGATTCAACATTAAAACAATGAAAAAAAAAAAAAACCTTGTTCTTCACCACCAACAGACCAAAAAAAGTTGATTTACAGTAAGTGAATTTGTTCCTGATTTATTTAAATGGCAAACTAAATTCAATGACGTATCTTTACTATAGCTCTCTTGCTTTTCCTCCATTGACACTGCAGCACTTCAAAGAGAGTGCATGGTAAGAATACATCTGTCACCCGGGCCATCAATGCTTGCAGTCTAGCACTAAGTAGAAAAAAATTTACTTTTGCTTTCTTCATTTCAGTTTGGTATCTGAAAAAGCTAGTAACTCAGAATTATATTTTCCCTTCCAACTATGAATACCACAAATATTCCCATTCCCAGGGGAGTCACATTTATGAGGGATTATTCATATCAGGGAAATTTTCAGCAAACGCTTGTCTGCCAAAGAACATCCACAAACAACACGATGAAGAGGAGAACATTTCCAGCTATCACACAGCAGCAGCTCTGTATCCTTGTAGAGAACCCTATCAACACTGCTGAAATAAACACCTTGAAACCTGCTTAAAACATGATCGCTAGACTCCTAGAGGGGTTTCCTCTGACTAGAAAATCACCTGTGAAATGCTGTGTTCTTCATGAGAAATTCTTTAATACCTCTAAGTTTCACTACAACTGCTTAGTGAAAGATTTCTTCCTTACTGCTTCTGACTCTCACTTTTTAATAGCTAAATAGTCTGTTCTATTTTGCTCCTTGTTACTCAGTCTCTAAACAAGAGTCTTATCTGTCCTTAAAGACCAACGAGTTAAAGCCAGTTCATTCAGGACATTGCCACAAGTAAGCTTTGGAAAACAGGGATTTCTGTGGATTCTCAGTGGAGGTTTTAGAAATCCATGTGAAGACTGGTAACCATGGTCTGTATAAAGGGAAATGTGTGTACATGAGGGTGCATTTGAGCATTACAAGCTGCAGAGTATGCAGAACCCTATTCCAGAATCCATCAGATGTAGCCTGCACATATTATGTTACTTGATGCAAAAGAAAAATAGAAACTTGGAAAGGACAGGGAAGGTAGAGGTGGCATTCAAGTCCAGGCCTGACTCATCTGGTTCCTGTATCGTTCTCCTGGCTACACATGCAAGGTCACACAAGTGTACACAATACCTTACCTGTTCAATACAATCTTTGGATAGTGGAGGTGAAGGAAATGAGGCAAAAACCAGGAAACCAATATAGAGATAAGTTAGCGTCACCAGCATATAAGCAATGCATAGGTCTCTCACCTGTATATAAACACAAGATAAAATGCTCACTCAATATAAAGACATTTACAGTAAGTCTACTTAAACACACTAAGTATGGAGTCTGACAAATAAATCCACATGTATCTTTTTTATTTTGTATGGGTCTGTATACTTTCTACCTAATTTTCACAAAATGCAATTATATATGTGTACACACACACACACACACACACACACACACACACACACACACACACACACACACACACACACATTCATTTAATTACTCTACTGGTTTTTCTTTTTAACTTGTCTGGAGTATGTAGACTAAACTACTTCTTAGAAGATTTTGAGAGCTAATATAAACTGTGGTTTAACACAACCGAAGTTCTAATTTAACTTCAGAAGGTAACATTTGAATTAAAAAATTAAATTCAAATTAAAAAAATAATTATAATAAATAAAGACAATAAGAAAGTATAAGCCACTTTTGGTTTGACCTATGAAATTTTAAAAATTCTTTTTTAGTAAATTAGCTTAAATCATCAAAGTATGTGTAGGCCGTGGGAGTGGAACATATTAAAATATATTTAATAAAAGGAGGAGCACCAGTTAAAGAGTAGACAAGCATGAATTAAGGACAAGCTTTAAAAACTTAAACAGTAAACAAAAGGACATTTAAAAAGCAGCTCTTCAAATAGCTGTCCAAAGCTATTACCCGAGTCAGCAAACAAACACAGATTATTAAATAAAGTGGCCTGCTTTCTTCCACCGCTGTTCCCACCCTCCCAGTCCATGCAAAAGAAAAAGCTCCAAGAAGAGACTGAAAGCAGCCAGCTGTTAAATCCAAACAGAACAGATTCCACAGCTTGCAAATGGTCTCCATTACCACTTAAGTTACAGCCAAACAATTCAACACAACTAAATTGTAGCAACAGGCCTATTCATTTTGGATAGAAATTACGTGAAAGCTAGGAAAATAGATTAGAACAAATTATATACAGTTTTGAAGTTTGATAACACAGTAAGAATGTTCAGACATTAGAATTAGGGAACATTTTGGATTTTTCTTGATGACCCCTAAAATGGGCTGAAGCAACAGCAATGTTTTCTAAACTTGAGATCCATAAATCTGGCTGAAAAGCAAACAAGAGCCTATGAGAAATCTTAAGGTCATGTCTAAATTGACATTCAGTTTGAAAACAAACCCGGGATTCAGTATCAGAAATGAGATAGTGGGTAGGCCTTTGGAGCTATATGCTTATTATGCAAGTTGGTCTCAGCCCTTTCAAATTTCTGTGAGAGCTTATTGTCTAGTGAAGGGCTTCTAAATCTTTTCTCTTTAGTTCATGAAGCTCTAGGGCCCAGTTCTAGGGTAGAATTCAGTTTTCCCTGGGGCTGTGTCACACACTCTGAGCAAAAACAAATCAAGAAATGCCTATTTTCATATAAAAAGTAGTTGGCTTCAATTACATTTCAAAGGCATTCCATTCTCCACCTACTCAAGCTGGCTCAAGAACTGAGACAGCCTCATTTAAAACATGATTTATTATGTTTATGTATGTGTGTGTTTGTGGGTGCATGTGAGTACTGGTGCCCAAGGATACTCTGGGCGCTGGAGTTACAGGTGGTTGTGGGTGACCTAATGTGGGTGCTGGGAATTGAACCCCAGTCCTCTGAGAAAGCAGTATGCGCTCTTAGTTGCTGAATCATTTGTTCAGTCCAATAAAGCCCCCTTAACAAAAGAAAATCTTGGGGAGCTAGGGAGATGGCTCAGTGGTTAAAGTGCTTGTTACAAATTAGCATGAGGACTGGAGTTCAGCTCTCTATAAACCCACATCAGTGCCAAGATGGCCTATAATTCCAGTCTTGGAAAGGAGAGATGGGATCCCCAGGGCAATATGATTGGCAAGACCAGTCAAACCTGTGAGCTCTGGGTTTGATTGAGAGATTCTGTTTTCAATGAAGAGGAAAGAACCACACACACACACACACACACACACACACACACACAGAAAATGGAAGAAAAAAAAAAGACAAAACCTCTAGAGGTGAAAATAACTGTGTCAGAGAGAGAAAGAAAGATGGGAAGAATTTCACTGATAGTCTTTAACTTATATACCATCTGACTGTATTATTTTAGTCCAACTTCCTATAAAACATGTACCTAAATGAAATTTCAGGAGATGTGAATGATGATTCCAAGGCTAGTGCTTCCAACAAAAGTGTTCCCTCCCAGTTTCCCTGTTCTCAGGACATTAGCCAAGAGCAGCAATGCTTATGTTCTAACTGCCATTGACTTTTATTATAAAAACAATCCCATTAAAATGATTTATTATTATTATTTATATTTTAAATTGTGTGTGTGTGTGTGTGTGTGTGACAGAGAGAGAGAGAGAGAGAGAGTGAGAGAGAGAGAGAGAGAGAGAGAGAATATGCACAGGAGCCCAGGTGTCCACAGAGGTAAGAAAAGGGTGTTGGATTCTTGGGAGCTAGAGTTCCAAGCAGTTGTGAGCTGCCCACTGTGGGTGCTGGGAACTGAACTTGGGCTCTCTGCAAGAATAGTTCACACACTTAAAGGCTCAGTCATTGCTTCAGTTCCCAAATTTATCAGTTTTTTGAAAAAAGTTCTTGAGTGGAAAGATGTTCCTTGACATTAAAAATTAGCCAAGTTTAATAGTTGTTTTATCATAAAGTTTTCTTCTAAATAGATCCATACCATTAGATCATGAGATCCTGGAGACGAGGACTGTCTTTTTCATCTTATACTCCCAATACTACCTAGGACAATATCGGACATAGCAGGAACTTGTAGGATAAAATTCAGGCATGACCTGGCAGCCAGCCTACCTGGCACACCACGCTTCTAAATAAGAAGCATGGCACAGTACGCCCCAGAAGTCAGAACACTGAATTCTGAAGTGGGCATTAGTAACTGGTAGCTGGCCTGTGGACAAGTCTGCACTCTCTCTGTCTCTTTTTATGTGCTTCTTTCCCATAGAGACCCTGGTGTTATGACCGCTCACTATCCAATCTGAGATAATGTGTTAAACAATCACAGTCCATAGGCTTCTACTATGTCAGCGGTTGCTCGCATGCAATAAAGCAGACATTATTCCCTGAAACCATCTCCAGAATGGTTCTTCTCCATGCCCTTTACCCACCTGAGGGCATTGTGGTCTTGTCAGAGGACACCCTGGTAATGATGGCAGTGACTCAATATAGATAAAATACAACATATCTGTTAACTACTTCTAGATGCCAGCATCTGTGCTAAGCACTGAGTGCCATTTCATCTGATCCTCATAAAACCTTATAATGTAGCTGCAGTCCAAGTTTAAGTCACAAAACTTTTACATGGGGAGTAGTTTGGTGAAGCCAATATACCAAACTTCAAACAAAGTTTTCTGTTGTCAAACTGTGTGCACTTAGCTACTATGGTTAAAAGTTTACTAGTCTCCAGGTATTTAAACCATATTTAGTAATGAAAAAAAAGAGAGAGGCAAAAAGGATTATCAAATAATATAACATGAAAGCACCACCAGAGATATGAGAAAACAAATGCCTGTGAGGACAGCTCTGTTACATGTACTCAGCACCCACTAGGACAGCTCAGACAGGAGCTGTGTGTCTGCTTTCATAGGGAAATACTGATGAACAGAAAGGATGCTTGTTACTACTCTAAAGCAGTCGAGGCCCAGCATGATTGGGGAAACACTCTGCCCATAAATAGCATGCGCATATTGGGGCAAGCTATTCTTTAAAACCCACGTCATATCTGTACCAGGAAAAGGTATGTTTTGGAATCTTTTCTACCCCCTAATGTTTTTCTGGTCAAATTGCTTTAGGGAATTAAAATGATAAACAGTTTAGATATACACATACAAAGCTACGTTTAGTGACAAAAGTTCAGAGAGGGAAGTCAAACTTGGAAAGCTGGGCCATTATGCCAGTGCAATTGCTGAGGGCTCTATAACCCCTCGCAAGTGCCTGGAGGGAAGGGGTCAGGTCCAGCTTTGGGAATACTGGAGGGAAAGAGCATGCTTTCTACTTTCAAATGTCTTCACAACTCTCAGATTTTTTTACTTTAATGCCCCCAAAATTTTGCATATGAACATTTTTTTAGTAAATTATTTAGTGAAAGCTCTTAAAATGTGTAATCATTAAATAACTCAAATAATACAGTGTCTGTTTAGCTTGACTTAGCCAATTTCAGTATAATCAAGACATTATATGTTCTCATACATTTAGAGTGATTAGGATGCTGCTGACACAGTACTTCATAAATGTTCATTTCCTTTGCAGTAACTAACATTTTTTAAAAAATGAAGTACAACTGCTGTGTTTTACAAAAGAGTTAGAGCAGGGCCAGCAGGTAAAGGCACTTGCTAAGCCTCACGACCTGAGCTCAGTCCCCAGGACACACATGATGGAAGCGCGATGACCTCTCTGTGTACATCGAACATTTGTACACAGACAAAATAATTTTAGAAAGCTAAAAACTAAAAAAACCCAAAACTTTAAAAGTTAGGCCATCACTTCATACTGTAGTTTTAATTAAGACAATAAAAAGAAAAAAAATCCACTTAAATACTGGCCTTTAAGTATTTCTTTAAAAAATACTTTCCATAAATGACAAAAGCTGAAGACAGGTTTTATTAGTACACTTAATATTTGTACTAGTTTTACAAAGTCCTCACTGACCAACTCAGCAGAAGGAGAAACTCATGGTGTTTAGAATTCTACTTTGTTCTGTGTGCACTGTTGGCTCATAAACTCATGCCTCAAGTGCTAAGCAGGCGCTGTACCACTGACTACATCTGAAAGGTCCTGACTGTTCAAATAAGACAGATAGAGACTGCCTCAGCCCTGGGGCAAGGCACCAAGGCACCTGTGTCCCTGTCCAGTTCTCAGCTTCCCACGAAGAGGCACGAACCCTTTTAAATGAACAGACCTGACTTTCTAGAAAATCAATTCTACCTGAGACTTGGGAGCAGAAGTTAAGCACTGGCAGGCAGTCTCTACATTCAGTGCAACATGGCGCAGGTTACTGTGCAGCTGGAAGCCAGGGATATCAATCACAGAGAGAAATTATCATGGAGGGGTAAGCTTTGACAAATTTTGTCCAAACATTAAACTGTATTTGCTACACATGGAGAAGGGAATGAAAAAAATATTAAAATCGGTGCTTATTTAGCATTGTAATAAAAAAAAAAAAAACCAGCAACAAAGGGCCTGAGAATGTAGCTTAGTGGTATAGCACTTGCCCACGTGCATAGGGCCCTAGGTTCAATACCCAGCATTGCAATAAATGAACAAATGAATGAATCAGAAGTACTGAACATTAGAATGTTTTGTTTTTTAAACTTAAGAGTAGCTTGAACTACACTTTCCCTTCCCTGACCTGGCTTTTAAGTATAAGGTCTCCTGTAGCCCAGGCTGGCCTGAAACTCACTTTGGAGCTAAGGGCGACCCTGAATTCTGGACCCTCCTGCCTCTACCTCCCTAGCGTTGGACTGCAGATGTAAGGTGCAAGGCTGGGCTAACACTGCCTCCTTTTAGAGAATGATATGTAGCAAGCATCTTTTTAAGACCTCAGTGACATGTCATGCTCTAACTTTCCATGGCTTCTAACTTTTCATCTTTGTGCTTTTAATAATGTGTGTTATCTCCAAGAATTCTTTTAATGTTAAGTTTTCTGACAGTGTCACTCCTGCTGTGATATCTTTCTCTTGTCTTGAAAACCATTTTCCAAATGTCCTTACCCTAAACTCTTCTGGCTGTGTATCTCAAATGGAGGTGGTCTCAACATTTCCATAAGCAGGTATTTCTTTTATACTCTACTATGTCTGAATGAAATTTCATTTTATCATTACCATTTTTGATTACTGCATTTCACCCTTTTTGTTACCAATTAGAAGCCTCCTTTCAGTTATCAAGTTTATAAATTATCATGTTTATTATTGAGGGAGCAACACAATTATCTCTTCTGTAGACTGTGAATGACACACAAGTGACCAAATGCTGGCTGACTTTGAAAACTGTGATGTGATCTGTCACTGATCATGATGTACACAGTGACTTGTGAACTGAGGACAGTGACTATTATTCTCTGCACGGCTCATAATTCAAATCCTGGGCTAACTGAAATGTGAACCATATCGGGACTTGTAATTTTAACTACAGTAATTAAATTTGTGCATGTAGGAACCATGCAATGTGAGAATTGCCTGCAATTTAACTACTAATCCTAGAATCCAGGAGGAAGATCATTGTGAGTTCCAGCCAACTTGGTTTACACAGTGAGTTCCAGGCCAGCCAAGGCTGCCTAATGAGATCTTGTCTAAAAACAAACCAACAACAACAACAACAAAAACAAAGTATAAACGACTTTGCTAGTAAACTACTTTTTGTTTTTTAAAAAAACCTGGTCTTGGGGCTGGAGAGATGGCTCAGAGGCTAAGAGCACTGGCTTGCTCTTCCAGAGGTCCTGAGTTCAATTCCCAGCAACCACAAGATGGCTCACAACCATCTGTAAGGAGATATGGTGTCCTCTTCTGGCCTGCAGCCATACATTCAGACAGAACACCTGTATACATAATAAATAAATCTTAATCTCTCTCTCTCTCCCTCTCTCTCTCTCTCTCCCTCCCTCACACACACACACACACACACACACACACACACACACACACACACACACAAAACCTGGTCTTACATAGTCCAGGCTGGCCTTAAATTTACTATGTAGTGGCAGATGACCTTCAACTCCTGATCTTCCTGTCTAGCACTTAGAAAGTGGAGGAAGGTTGGGCTTTTCACTTCACATTTTTACTTTTAATGTAGGTATTTATAGCTGTACATGTCCTTCTAAATATAGCTTTCGGGACAATTCCATAAGCTTTGGTATTCTGAATTTTCATTTTTTAGTAACCTTTAATTTTTTTGGTGACTTCCTCCTTGATTCACTGGTTACATAGGCAGATGTTGACTATCTGAATGTTAAAAGAAATGTTAACTTTCATTTATTTGTAAATTCCCAAATGTGAGTTGTTAGTTTGTACCTTTGGAGGCTGTCCTGGAACTAGCTCTTGTAGACCAGGCTAGTCTTGAACTCACAGAGTGCCTGCCTCTGTCTACCGAGTGCTGGGACTAAAGGCGTGCGCCACCACCGCCCAGCTTTTTCATGCTTCTTAGACTTGTAATTTTTTTGTCTATTTGTTCTACTAGTTATTAAGGAAGAGGGAAGAATATTTCCAATTATAACTTTGTCTACTTTCAGTTTGTTGTTACTTCATTTATTTTAATTTTAATTACATTTTATTTAGTGGTATGTGTGTATGTGTATATGTGTGTGTGTGAGCACACATATGCCACAGTGTGTGAAGGTTAGAAGACAACTTTCCAAGGTCAGTACTCTCTTTTACCATGTGGATCCCAGGATTGAGCTCAGGTTGTCAGGCTTGGTAGCAAGTGCCTTTACCTACTGTGCCATCCTGAGGCCTACTTCATGTATTTTAAAGTTCTACTACTGGGTGAATCTCTCTCTCTCTCTCTCTCTCTCTCTCTCTCTCTCTCTCTCTCTCTCTCTCCTTCCTTCCTTCCTTCCTTCCTTCCTCTTTCTCTTTCTTTTCTTCCTTCAAGAGAGAACAACTGTATTTAAATGCATAATTTCTGTATAACTTGACATTAAAGCAAAGCAAAGCAGAGAACACAAGCACTTCCTTTGCAATGCATGATGACTTGCTTAGAGACTCATTCACAAATGAGCTTATGAATACTAGCAGACTTAAGATGGAAAGTGGAAAAAAAGAACACAACTGAAGAACATTATGATCTCACAGTATCAACTAGACAGTACTTTATTTATAATATTACATTATGAATAACTGAGGATAAATATACTGTTAACTATTATTTTTATAGTTTTAGTAAATGGCCAAATCTAATTCAAACACAGTATGCACTTATTCCTATTAGGCATTTAGTCAAATGTAGATTTTATATATATCGTTATGCTATTTCCAAGGGAGTTAGTCCATAAGGATCACAATATAATCACTCCTCTTTGGCTTTGACATTATCATTTGTGCTGCTAGTAACACATGTGCTCTAATTTCTTATAGTATGCAAAAGCTATAGCTTTATATTTAAAGTTTCTTAAAGATAACAATTTTATTTTTTAACAAATCTGACAATTCTCTATTGTTATACTTAGATCATTTATATTTAGTGTAATTATCAATATAACTGGGTTTAAATCTACCATCTTGCTATTTAGATTCTTTTTCACATCTTTTTTTCTTGTCTTCTCTAATATCTTTATTTTTATTATTATTGGAGTGTTATTAGCTATACCTCTTTACTTTTTAAGTAGATTCTTTATAGCAGTTTGGCAAACTCTGGTCTATGGATCAAATCTGACCCACCGTCTGTTTCTGTAAATAAAGCTTTATTGAAACAGAGACACCACCCATTTGTTTACCTATTGTTTGTAGCTATTTTCATTCCACAATGGCAGGATTGAGAAGCTATAACAAGAACATATAGCTGGCAAAGCCTAAAATAGTTACCATTCAAAAGTTTCATATGCTTGACCACTGATCTATAATTTAAGCTTAAAAATTAAGGTATAGAAACAAATTGCATAATTTTACTCAAACTATAAAGTACATCAAACATTGATTAAAGTTTATCCTTAGGAAACATCAAAGTCAGTTTCTCAGCGAACAACTCACATTATTTTCTTGGTTCTTGTTGTTTTTTAAGAGTGTGATAATACAATTGTGAATAAAGAAAGCAAGAGTAAGCACTCCAGTCAGCTGTGGAAACTCAAATCTTATCTCTAGGAGAAAAATAGACAAAAACAAAACTGTTAAAATGACAAGTAGAAAATGAGTATCAAGCACCCATTAAAATCAGTCCCCTCTTTTATCACCACCACCACCACCATCATCATCATTTCTCCAGGGAATAAAAATATTCAAGCGTTTATAAAGTCCCTCAAAGTGAGCATTACACTTGGTCAAAGCACTTAAAAGAGAAAGAAAAGGAATGAAGGGTGTGCATTCTGTGACTTTCTCAGTTATCCCTCGCTGAGATCCCACAACTGGATTTAAATTCAGGGTCTGTCTAGGACTAAAATCTTCCACTCCTCCTATACCTGAGTTTGTCTAAAAAGTTCCTCTAGAAAAGGAATCACAGATGGAGAAATGGCTACCAAAGCTTCTTGGGTGACAAATCTAAAATGCATTGCATAAAAATATTACTGGTTAAACTGAGATATAGTTCTCAGTGAGGTACAGTATTTAAAACTTATGCTGTTAAGATTTAATACCAGGACAAATGTTTGAGCCCAGCAGCATATCAATCGTGATTTGCTTTTGTTTTTTAAAATGCACATAAGCAGCTGTAGATTATGTACTCAAGAAAAGATGTTGACAGAATCACAGTAGTTGGTTGACAGGATTTATTTTAAATTAACCACGTAATTTTCTACAGTAAGTAGTTATTTAAAAATAATACTTTATAACCACTGTTTGTAGGCAGGTAATAAATAAGTGAAAAAATTAGTCAATGTGGAATCAGACTACAATTTACTCAGCAATATTGGTAGATTTTGGGGAGAGCATGTGGCAAACCAGAGAACAATGTCAGGGACTGCTTGCTATAAAGAGCAGCATTGTAGAAAAGGTCTACCCGCTCTTTGCTACATTGTTTTAGGGAAGGAAGAGTGACCCACTAGGAATCAACTACCAGTTCTAAACAAAATCAGAAGCTAGGGCCAACAAAAGTCTATTGTTTTACTTCTTTTCTTTTTTGTTTGCTTTTTCTCACTGTCTGAGCCTCTTGAGTTCAACACTCAGGTTACAGTCATGAATCACCATGCCTGGTTTATTCTGTTTGCTATCATATTTCCTGTCTGTCAGCTTCCATCTATATTTTTTTATCTGTGAATGCAATTCACTGTATAGGCAAATTCTTCCTATTAGTTTTAAAAAAAATCTTTTTCTAGTCATCTTCTTAAAACACCTCTTAAACTGAGATCACTTCTAGTTAGCAACAACATTACAAGTGCATGATGACAAAATCATGTGCAGATGAATTTAGTTGCTGATATTTTTAACAGAGAAATATCTGACAAACTCTTTAGCTGGAATCCAAAGTAAAAGGCAGTTAAGTAGGAAAAAAAAGAAAAGAAGAGAAAGAAATCACCAATCATGGTGGTTCATGTCTGTAATCTTAGCATTTAGGCTGAGTCCCTGGTCAGTCTGGGCTATTCAGTAAATTCCAGATTAGCCTGGGCTAAAGGGAGATCCTGTCTCAAAAGGCTGCCCTGCCACATAAATATATTTCTTATATACTAACTGGTGAGAAGCTTTAAGAAAACAAATTAGCAAAATAGACAATTTGGCCTATGAGTACTTTCATTTCTACGTGCCATACATTGAAGTACTCTGACACGTTATTGTGGAATTACAACACTCAGATCTCCCTTTAAGTGAGAACCTAAGCAAGGAGGTTGTTAGCTGATGGTTTCCGGCTACAGCCCTCCGGTGTCTGCTGCCCCGATCCTGCACTAATCATTTTCCCACTGGACAGCTACTAGCCAACCCTGAGCTTGCAGTGTATTAGGGTTCAGGCACACTTTTGTAACTTGTTCTAGAGGCATTGAGGGTCATAGTGGCTGGCCAGGACTTTCTGAATTTACTTCTGTCCAATCCATTTCCTTTTCTTCTCTCCCTTCCTACATATCTTAACCAGGCTTAGTCCTGCTCCTAATTCCTTTAATTCTGCAGAAGGGTTGCCCTTATACACTTCTTATCTTCTAACCCGGTTTTGGTACCTGCTTACTGAAACAGATCCAGTTGGTGTTAGAAGTGTCTGAGAAACGGAGATTTGAGGGGTTTGAGTCCTGGATCACTTACTACGAAGTTTTCAGTTATCATCTGTGTTGTGTTTATGCTAGAACCTAAGGCTCATTTTTGTTTTGAGATGGGAATCTATGTAGCCCAAGCTGACCTCAAACCCACTATGTGCTTGAGAATGACCTTGAACTTCATGATCCTCTTATATCTACTTCTCTGGGATTAGAGGCATGCTTCACCATATTCAGTTTTACACAGAGCTGAGGATCAAATCAGAGGTCTCTTGCATACTAGGTAACCCAAAGATTTTGACAGTGTTCCACTGTTGACTGAGAGTGACTAAAAGAAGGGAAAGGCACCCCTGACCTCATCCTGTTTTGGGTAGCATTTCATCATGTCAGCTTCATTCCAAATTCTATTTTCAAACAGGGAACTATAGGACTATTCTTCCTTCTCCCTTCTGGTCTTCGGAGGACAAAAGCCTATCTTTCAAGTGTGGGAGGGGAGGAGAGAGCCATAACTGGCCTTTAGAGTTATATTTAGCTTAAAAGAGAAGGCTTTCAGCCCCACTCTTGCTTTTTAGTACTTCCTACCATTTTCTCAACAAGTATTCTTTCAATTGAGCCATTCAAATTCTCATAATTTCCTAAATGAGTCATGTTACTTCAGGCCTTAACTGTATATGGCATACTTCTCAGAATTCTCCAATTTCTCATTTAGTGATCTCCTGTTGGCCCTTAATAGATTTCTCTGAGATCATTTCTCTGCCTCCTCTTCATTGCAATTCCTCTGTACTCCAGTGTCCCTGGTATACCTCTTTACACTATGATTGTTATTTCACAAATTGTTTTACTGATCAACTGGAATCTCTTGGAGGGCAGTGGGTCATGTTTTACGAAACACTGTGTGGCATGTAGCAGGAACAATATTGTCAGAACTAAAGGACTCTCAGCCATGTATACGAACAAAACTCTACTTAAAATTGTTTCTGGAATTGAGATTATTGATTTTCTCTTTGATTGATCTTTTCCATCTCAAAGCAATCAACCTGTCTATGACAGTCGATGAATATGATCCTTTTCAAATTAAGGCTTTTGCAATTGATTGACACAAATACTTTTTGAACAAAAATTAAAAAACCTGAGATTTTTAGGGTTGTTAAAATATAATTCATATGTGTTTTACTTGTGTGAAGTGTGAACTTAAATGTTTTTTTAGTATATTCAGAGTTGTGTGATCATAACCACAGTACTTTGTTCCTTTCTAGTGCTGGAGTATTCCATTGTATTGACACATCATACTTTAGATACTCACCAGACAGACATTGGGTTGCTTCCACTTTTGGCAATTATGAAAATTAAAGTTATAAACACACACATATTATGGGGAAATATGCCTAATATGCCTTTTCAAAGGATATAACATTCATGACATGATTATTCCATTATACTTAAAGAATATAAGTAAATTCACAAAAGGCTGGAAGTTAATTGAGGGAAACACCTGATATAATCCCTGGCCTTTGTGTGACACACACACACACACACACACACACACACACACACACACACACACACACGTACATGCACATAGTAAACTAGTACCTAAATTCTCTTTGATGTCAAAGAATTGTGAGGGCTTTTTTTTTTTTTAGATAGGTTTCTGTGGTGGTTTCAAAGAAAATGGCCTCAAAGGGAGTGACACTATTAGGATGTGTGGCTTTGTTGGGGTTGTTAGAGGAAGTGTGTCACTGTGGGGCTAGCCTTGAGGTCTCCTATGCTCAAGCTATGGCACCTGATACGGTGCCATGGTCACAGTGTCTCTTCACAGCAAGAGAAACCCTAACATAGACAATCTCACTTTGTAGCACCGGCTGACCTCTAACTTGTGGCAATTCCTCTGGCTCAGCTTCCTGAGTGCTAGGATTAACAGGTATGAGTCATTATACCTAGCTTAGAAATGTCATCTTAATTGTAGTATTAAAAGCTAATCTGGCAGGGGCTGGAGAGATGGCTCAGAGGTCAAGAGCACTGGCTGGTCTTCCACAGGTCCTGAGTTCAATTCCCAGCAACTACATGGTGGTTCACAAGCATCTATAATGAGATCTGGCCTGCAGGGATATAGACAGGCAGAATACTATCTACATACATAAATCTTAAGAACAAAAACAAAAACAAAAAAACCTAGCCTGGCATGGTGACACATACCTGTATTCTTAGCACTGTGTAGGTAAATGCAGGAAAAGCAAGAATTGAAGGCTGTCTTTAGTTGCAGAGTACATTAGGCCAGCCTAAGCTACATGAAACCTTGTCTGCCTCTAGCCCACCCCACCCCCTTTGGGTAAAACCCAAACAAACAAAGACTGTTAAAAGTTAAACAATACTGGGGATGTGCTCAGTCACTGAAGTGCGTGGCAAGCATGGAGAAGGAATTAGATTTGGTCCTCAGCATGGAATTAACTAGCTATGGTGGTTGGTGCATGCTTATAGCCAACACGGGCAACGGAAGTGCTAAGTAACCCTATTTTTAATTTGGATTTGAAAAATCAAGTTCTTATTTTTATGATTATGACTGAATTCACAGTGAGCAATGGATTGTACTGTGATTAGTTTCCTTTTATATAAAAACTCTTTTCATTGACCTGTTTTTCTGGAGGAAATAAATAACTTTTTCTTTCTTAGTTCCTTAATTATCTAGGTAGTACTAGTTTCTCCTCAAACTTTATTCAAGAATCATAAACTCTCAGCCTCTCAATCTTTACCATACACCAAAAATTTTTGCACTTTTTCTTTGAAAAATGCCATCTAGGACATCTGTCTACTTCTTGAAATATGCTCTGGCTTCCCATGTGGCCTGTTCCTACTGTTTTCTAGTTCACCTTCATCATGTCTTTCTTCACTCTTATTTTAATGGGATTCAGGAAGAAGTAAAATAAACACATTTACTTATTCAATAAATATTTCTTTACATCTTTATT